AAACCATACTGGCGGACTTCTGTTGATAAAATCTACCATATATTTATATAAATTGTAAATTGTAAAAATAAAATGTTTAAATTATCAAAACGTGAATCCTCTATTTCTGTATCTTTACAAAAGAGTACAATTTCGTATAATGTTATTTGTAACTTTTATCGATTTTGTTCGTGGCGAGGGCGTATTGCGAGAGATGGGACGTAGCGTATCCATTGCCCCATGTCTGTCTAGACAACAAATAACTGTGAAAGTCTCCAATTTCGAGGTTTAGTTTGATAAATAAAGGTCTCTGAGTGACACATACCAATCGTATCATGGAATATTTCAGATGTAGTTATAATATATACAATGTAAATTTATTTTGAAAAGTAATCTAGTTTATTTAAGTTTATTTATTTAGAAGAATTATATAGAACTTAAACAATAGTTCATTTTACTCAACTGGCAGAAAAATACCAATAATTTTAATAATACAGTGAAGTCGAATGCCTTGTGTAACCATCTGTAATAATTCTATAACTATCTGTAAATATTTATTATTTGCGCAAATAAAAGCACGTTTTATAATATGTCATATTGTTTCATTTTATATATTTACTTATGTAAATGTAATAAAATATGCTCTGTCGAAGGACAGGTCCCTGAACTGAACTCCAAATTGTATAGGAAAGTATTGGACGGATTTCTCGTTGCCAATTCAAAACGCAATGCCCAAAGTGAACTTTTTTTACTGATCGATTACTTAGTTTACATATGGACTTTTAACTTCGATGCTACCGAATATCTATATACATGTATAATGATTGGTTTAATATATTTTTTTAAATAAATTTGTATGTAACAATCAAAATAATATTAGTATTCTATGAGTTATAACACGTACATAATCTAAACCTTAACAAATAAATATTTATGTTAAAATAAACGATAAACTAAGTAAATAAATAAAACACTAGTAAAAATAATAAATAATAATAATAATTGTTTTATAATAAACAATAGTTATAGAAATTATAATAATAATGATAATAATACAAATAGTGGAAAACTGTTTCATTGACTAGTTGATTAATTAATTAAATATAAATCACCCGGGAATATTCTCTTCAGTTTTCTTGAAGTAGGGATCTCGAGCGGTGCTGAAACTTGTTATATATTTTTTATATTTGAAAAATTATAGAATATATTATTAATTGAGAAATTAGGCATTCTATAAGCTGTGATGAATTATCTGTTAACATCGTAGTTTCATTATAGATGGCAACCCAAATAATTGTCTGTTTGTGATCAATTTGATTACTACAATTACTGCAATAGTGATGACTTATTTATTACTTAGAAACATATTACTATCTATATTTCCAAATGAAAACTGATGTCACTACTGCTTGACATTAGGTTGCTTGAAGCGGGATCGAACCAGGGACTCTGATTTAGGTCCAGTTGTCCAACCATTTACCTAAGGGCAAGCCCTGAACTTACTATTAAATTTACTAAAAGTGTAGTAAAAATTTAGGTATTAAAATATTATTTTACTAGTTTTTTTTTAACTTTGTTTTATTTAGCAATCAGAAAAATAAAGATTCCTAAGAGCTGAATTGACAATATTTGAGAGCGATGTCTAAGAAGAACTCCAATGAGATCTTTTTAGTTTAGCAAATGATATGATGATTTTATACTGAAGGTAATCTAATTGTAAAACTAACAATAAGTCTAAATTTACTAGATGTACTAAATTTTCAAACGCTCAAAATTTATTATGAAATACGATCAGTCATGGACGGGTTGACTTTAATTCATCATTACATCACCATTAAATTTCACCTTTTGTATACATATGGAAATATTGCAATTATAAATAAAATATAATAATACATATGTTCACAGTTGCATTGTTACTTTCGCGGGCTTATTCAAACACAATATGTTGTATCTATTTAGAGAAACAAAATAATAAACATTTTCTTCAATTCTTATACAAGTGCGATTATATTGACAATGAATAAACCACACAAGAATATTTCCAGAATTCTCTTTGTGCGTTGAAGCGAAAGATATAAGGCTATCATAACAACAACAAGGATACATTTCATTCATTTCGCAAAATACTATTTTTTAACTCTTTTTTTGTATTATGTATTGTTGGGTGCCGAATAGCTTTTCTCTTCATCAACCGATTTCGTTAGATGTTATAGTAAATATCATAATAAGTTCAAATTAAACACAATATTCTTCATGTAAACATTTATTTTCTCGCACTTTGATAACACTGAGGTGTTGTCATCTACACGAAATTTACACAACTGCTACTAAAAGTTACATTTCGCCTGTATATAACATTTTATTTAGAGAAAGGGACTTCCCTTGATTTTGAATATGCTCAATAGAATTTCTTTATATGTGTGTGCAAGTCAAGTTCTTTTCCGTTTTGATTTCATAGGAATTACTGCGATGTGTGCAATTCATCGATAAAAGATTATTACAATGTTGACTGTTCTTATGTTGAATAAGAAATATAATAGTTTCTAATATATTAGTTATTAATATTAGCTAATTAAGCGTTGGGTCACAACAGTATATATGAATAAACTAATTTGATCCATTACAAAATCTATTGAACATATCTGCTCCAAAATGATCTAAAACCAGGACATCTGTTTCTTGATATGGCGACAGATCATATTATCTTCTGGATATTTGTCAAAATTTATGAATGAATTCTATGAATTCATTTAGAATAAGTATCGATAATACGATTCTTTTGTGTATAATTGGATGTTTATTTAGGCGAGGATAAATTTCACGTTCAATGCGACGATAATAAATGCTATGACTCAACGAGCAATGACTGTTGTGCAGTGTGTACGTGCCGGCTCATTGTAGTAGGTTGTGTCAAATCACGAGGTGCCGGTTCGGTTTTAGAAAAAGTGCATAATATGAATTGAATTATATTCTAATATTAATGGAAATGAATTTTGTTATATACATGGAAATATTTCAACTGCATAAAAATATTTATCTATAATAGTGCAAGTTTTGATAGTTATAGGATATCATTTCTAAAGTGTTATACGAGCATAAGCTTTAAAAGTGAAAGTGGTTGTGAATGGTTTGCATTTGTAGTTAGTGTTATTAATAATTATATTTTTGCTACTTCCTTTAAAGAAGATTGTTTATTGGATTTTAATTTAATTGAAAACACGATGATGGACATTATAAGTGAATCGATTGTACGTATTTTTAATTGTAGTTGCATTAGATATTTTTGATTTATTATTTGTTAATTACAAAGGTTAACAAAAAAAGTTGTCTGTATTGGGTCTAGAAAAAACTAGGCAAACTAGGTAAAATGGGCCAGGATAGATAGAAAAGAATGACTAGATCGGAGATTTTGTCTTTTTTAATTTTTCTTTTAAATTCTTTACAATTTGACCCCCAATTTTGACTTCAGAATTTGTATTCAGCGGTAAAAACTTATGCTGCATACCAAATACAAACATATTTTTTGTGTACCTGCGTTAATGGTAAAAATTTGCTGCCTACCATTGAAGCTCTCATATGGGAACTACCAAAATTTACAATAAGATACGAAGTTAAAGAGTAATAATATTAAATAAGATTAAAAGAGAATTTTTTCCTGATTTTTGTTCTAAAATTATTTAAAACCTTTTCTCCATATCACGATTTTTGAGCTAATTACGTTTTAACTTCATTCGTTAATTAATTAACCTGTTAACCGAGCGTGTGTGATCTTTATAATTTTATATGTTTATTTTTTATTAATACGAAATGAATGAAAATCTATAAAATGTATATTGATTATTTATATTTTTGAAGTACAAAGAAAACAGCACAAAACAAGTACATACAAGTCTAATGGTCGATCAAAAATATACGCCTCATCTGCACGTAATTTTTGAAGACGCCTTTATGCACCCTGCCTGGTTAACAGGTTAATAATTATTTTTGTTCAATTTTGTTCAATTTGCTGGTGAAGTTGGGCCACTTTTTCGCAATGAAACAGAGTAAAGTAAAGTATGTATGTAATTTGCTACGGTTTCCTTCGCCGAGATTTACCGCCTTTGTTTACAGATTACGATATCTACGAAAAAATAATTTCACAAACAAATCACACAGTCCCGTAGACAATTCTCAACAAACAAGGTCGAAGTTCAATGACTCGCTCAGCATACGTTCATTTATAAATTAATATACATGGAGGATCCATTTTTTCTCGCATAATCTCCGGGGTTCATTTGATATGATAGTCGTCATTAGATTGTGCAAAATATGAATCATTCAATATTGTAATAATTATTTCAAGAATTATAATTCATTAAAAGTTCTGTTATCTATTTAACAGTCATTCAAACTTATCAGCTAACTTCTTGTTAACAGAAAACTATCGTAGACTGAAAAGAAAATCGCCACTTGATTTTATTCGATATTGAGTTTTAGTTTCCCCCTTGTCAGCAAATGTAAGCAAAGCTCTTACCCCCTACTCCCATGCTTACGTAAACATTTTGCAATTAATGTAAAAAATAAAAATACTACCTATGACACAATCATCATCCAGACTCTCCTGCCCCCCATGTCAACCCAAAATAAGCAAATCAACAACCCACCGCCCCCCTATAGTGCTTATGTAATACTTGAACGGTCCCTTATAAGAAAATATTTTGGTTTATATTATTATAAATTGAAAATTGTTAATATCATTTGTAATGAATGCAAAAACAACTACTGAGTGGCTTGCTATTTGCTAAATTTGGTCAGTTTACTGGACAGTTGTAAATATAGTAGTGAATAAAATAATCTGTTGACCATCATTCTTCATCTTAATGGTTAAAGTTAAAGCATTATTAATTAAAGCATACTTAAATTAAAGATACTTAAATTAAACGCCTAATGTGTTATAAATATGTTATTTATCTATAAATTTTATTATTACATAAACTTTTGGTTGTATAAAATTTTATTAATTTTATTTTTTGTTCCAGGGAAGTAACACACCTCGGGCAGCTTACGCAGCGAGTCCGGGCGGCGCGTCCGCTCTAAAAGGAGGCGGTCGCGGTCCAACAGCCGCCGCCGCCGCCGCAATGGCGACCGCCGCAACGGGCGCTCCGTACCGCACCGGCGCCGCGCCGTGGACGCCGCAACCGCCGCCTCCTTATGCGGCAGCAGCTGCTGCTCCCGCAGCTACAGCCGCTCCACCGCAGCCATACCGATACACCGCCGCTATGCCGCACCATTACGCCGCACCTTACACTGGACAAACGCCGGTAAGTAGACGTTCAGAAATACATACTTTGTTTTTAATGGCATACATAATTGATTTTTGTAAGTCACAATTAAGTTTGTATCCAAATGTGGCTTAGGCAAATTGTTGTAATCTACTGAGATATATTTTTTAAAAGCATTTTTGTATTTGCTTTCTGCGCTTGCCTTCAGCTCCTAAGCTGAACAACCGTCCATTTGATTTTATGCGATTTGGCGACCATTCTATTTCGAAAAACCCGATAATGGCAAAGTTTGTGTGTTATTTTATGACTATCTCAAATGAAACACTAGACTTCTTCACTTCAGGGAGTGAATTTTAAGTTATTATTTTTCTTCTATGCTGACTTATTTTTCTCTTTTCATGTAACATATTTAAAAAAAAAGATGTTTAGATTATAAGATAGCTTAGATAGCTTATAATATTTCAATGCAATTTGATTGCTATTTTAAGTTTGTTCAATCTATTAATTTTGCAAGTTTTTTTTTATTTTTTAGACAAGGATAAGCAATTGGGTTTTAAATATTTTAAGTCATATTTTTGATATTGTTACAATTATAAATCTGTAATTGATGAGAAATATTTTTCATATATAAAAACATAACACAACAGTGATAAATTATTTAGTGCGTAATTTGGCATTGTATCTAGAGACACTCATCACGGTTTAAAACAACTGACAACGAGTCAAACATCAGGAGTCACAAAGGATTTAATTATAAAATATTTTAACTTCCCGAAGGAGATGTTTATGTTTTCATAAAAAAATCCGATTAGCTAATTTTATGTTTTCTCGACTTTTCAAGCCATTCTGAATCGAATGAGACCAAATTTGGAAACGTGTGTGTGTATGTGTGTGTGTCTATATGTGAACAGATTTTTTGCCGTACATCGACGTTTTCTCAAAAACGGCTGGACCGATTTCAAAAATTTAAAAGCCATTCGATTTATGTATCTCGATGAGGACTATCATTTATCAGTTTTGCCCTACGATCTGCCAAGCCGTTTCGAAAAAAGTAGTAAACTTATCGTCGACATTTAAGCTCAAACTACCGAATCGATTTTAGAAAATCAAAAACTGTTCGAAAGATATTAGTTGGGTATGATACTGATAGTTTTAAGTGAAAATCTACCGAACCGTTCTCTTGTAATTAACTGTTGAAAAAAAAATTAAGCTGATTTTTATGGAACTTTTTTTGGCAATATATATCATGGTCTTATAGAACTTACTGAAACATTACGGCCTTACGACATGTAGTTTAATTTTGAAAATTCATCAAAGTTTGAGAAAATGAGTAGTTTTTTAGACGTGTGTTAAAATTAAAATTAGACGATTTACTTGGTATAACGATAGAGAAATTGGTCTTGATGAACACAGTAAACCATTAAAGTCCTACGGAAACTGGCTCAATTGTAAAAATTGTTGATTTGACTCCGAGTTAACGTGTTCGTTTGTTTTCGAATGTAGAATAAACTCAGAATACTTTTAATCGCTCATAAATTAATTTATTTTTTATTGATTAAGTCGATTATTTACATATATCGGGAAGTTCATGTAACTTGCCTTAAGGCAAAATACCAATAGCAACTAGTTTCCTATATTCTTTGTATTAAATTACAAACTGTCTTTACAAAAAAGAAGACATTCAATAATTTTGTAGATATATGAGAATTATTAAACATAAATTCTGAAAGTTCATCCAGTAGTATGGCTTTTCAACTTTGACACACACACTTATGAAATTGTGCAGTCTTATGAAATCTTATGATAGTAATAGTTATAGTTTTATAGAGAAGGTCAGAAGGAAGCTCGGAGCTTCTTGATCGTAAAAACATTTAATTAAAAAAAAACAACATATTACTTAAATATCAATTTAAGTCAAATCAATCATTATCATTATTAGTATTATTAGTAATTATAGTAATTTTTACATCTGTCTTGAAATGGACAACAAATAAAACTGTAGCATTGAAAAAAAAAAAATTCAAAAACATAAACTAATATACATTTACAAAAATGAGTTTGAAGATATAAACTAATTTACGTTTCTAATATGAATATGCCAAAACTTGGATTCTTCTTCAATGACTTTATTTAATTTATGAAAGACAAAAATAAGAAAATTGGAACATTTATTCATTTTAATTTTATGATTTGTTATACATTTTCACAATCAAGAAACGTTCTTAAATATGATGTCAAATTTCAAACAATTAATTTCTTGATTTTAATGAATTTTAAATATTTTCAAATACGGATTGGTCTATCTAATTATTAAATACAATGGCATTTAATGAATGAATTTAAATATGGAAATGCTGGAATTTAAATCAGAAAGTGTAATCCATAGCCGCGGTAGTATCCATTGCTTCCGAAACCGGAGCCGCAATTCGATCGTACAAGGTGAATTGACGCGACTGACCTTGAGCGCGTAACGGTCGCCGCCAGCTAGAGGACGATCAACTGCGAAATGCACGGCAAATCAACCTACTTGCATACACGCTTAGATCGCGGCTAGCGGCTAGCGGCTAGCGGCCACTGGCTAGTGTACTAGAACAGGGCTTCTTAAACTTTTTTATATAGCGACCCCCTTTCAAGCTTAAGAAATTTTAAACGACCCCCTCCTCCAAATAATAAAATATATATTAACCGTTATCGCATTATTTTACAATGTAAATAAAATAAGGATTGAAGAATATGTACCATTCATGTTATATATAATTGGAAATTATGACATAAAACTATATATATATATATATATATTCAATAGAAAAATAAAATTTTGTAACATTTTTTTAATGAAAACCTATTATA